CTCATAAGGTATTGAGAATTTGCTGTATCGAAGCTGATCAGGATCTTGGTTATTTGAGAGAGGAGAAAGAGATGTTTGAATCATCAGAGAGACAAAGAGATGTGTTTCAAAGGCTTTGTTCGAAAGCTCAAGAGATTGATGATACTGATGATGATCATTCCAGTGTTAGAGATGGAATTACCCGTGAGGTTGATGTCGGAACAGGATTATCGGCGCAATAAAACTTCTACGAGAGCAAGGAACTTTCAAGAGGGGAGAAAGTAAGCTTGCAAGTAGTAGTGTTACATGTAATCTTGATGATGAAAGATTCAGAGATCGGGTTAAGGGTATTCGGATTGACAAGGTCGATGAGCAGGGCAGGATGTTGAATCCTAAAGAAGCGTTTCGAGCATTGTCTCACAGTTTCCATGGGAAGCAACCTGGGAAGAAACACGAAGATAGAGCTGTGGAGAGAATGAGGGAAGTTCACGCCAAATCGAAGAGTCCTTATATTGTTCTCTAATCGGAATTGTCGTCTCTTTTGGTTTGCCTTTTATGATACACACTCGAATGAATAAGTTCATAGATTTGGTGTTTTGCCTTAAATTTCAAGATATTAATGTTAAACTACTACGTTGCTTATACTTCTATGTTTGTATGATCTAACGTTTTCTGCATTCCTCTTTGGATTTTTTGTTTCCCACAGTTGTATCAATGCATTCCGAGACAAAACAAGGCCGTTTAGTGACGATTCCATCTTCCACGGAGACTCAGCTATGTAGTGAGAACTTTGAGGATAAATTCAGCGATTTGCATGAGAGCGTTGTTAGCAGAATTCTGAATCTCCCAACTGTCGAAGCTGTTAGAATCTCTGTATTATCAAAGACATGGAGGAACGCGTGGACCAATGTCATAGAGTTACAGGCTTCGCGCCATTGGAAGTCCGCATATTAACAGTTTCCATCTTCATTCTGTTAATTCTTTCGATGAGACTCTTCTCATCTCGTGGTTGTCAAACGATCTAAGGCGCAAACTTTAGAAACTTGTTA